TAGGCCTAACAATAGCAGGCTGTAACATGGACTGTATAGGCACCGACAATGGTGACCACTCAAGCATGAATGGTAAGTCATGGCCTAGCCAATGGTGAAAATAAGGATTAAAAAATTGACTTGAAAAAACGTAAATTAAAGACAGAAAAGCGAAACATTGTAGTCTCAGATATTAAGGAGACAAACCAACAGCAGATTTTAAAGAAAAATCGTGCAAAAAGAGGAATTCCAGACGGTTTCCAAGACACTTGTATGGTGGCTGCTACTTGCAGCGCCGTATATCTATTCCTTCATCTATTCCTTTCATCCATGCCGACTTGCCAACCCTGACTGAACTCTCTGCAGAAACTTCACATCGAACTTGCATCGCGATGTAAAACAAAATGTCGGAAAACATTTCTTTGACGCATGCGCATTTGCATAAATGTCTACACACACACTACACACAATAAAAAACATAGGAAAAACAGCGAAGGGTGATTACAATAGTTCATATTGCATTACATGCATAGGAACTAAAAATGCAACATTCTAGTCTTGGTGAATCATATGTGGTGCATTCATATTTAGCAACTGTACATACCTCAAATTAGTTGTATATAAATGAAATCAACAAATCCATCAAAAAATGAATACAAAACAATACAAGAATATCTAGTGCTATCATATTTAATCAAGCTTCTCTCTCTTTTTTTTTTTTTTTAAATACCTTTACAATTGGTTTTGGTATCAAATAGAAATTAGGTTGTTGATGCTTCAGTTGTACTGTACTCTGAGAGAACAGAATAATACCTCAATGTATTGAAATCAGTTCTAGGCTTGAATATCAATTAATTCATCCCCTAATATTTTGGATTTTATTTTACTAAAGATAAAACATCCCATTTTATCAAGTTAAAATCAAGAAATACAACCAAAAATAAAATATATAAATAAATACAAAGTTTGATTTTCTACATATAATTTATTAGAAAATATTAAATTAAAAGATGTTACCACTATAGTAGGATATTATCGATTTCTGTCATGTGACTGTCTGCAAGTACACTGACCAGTCACACCTCTACACTTCCCCCAATCCCCTACTCATGAGGCAACAGAACAATTATTAGACAGTCTATTTACAAGCACTCAAGATACAAATGCTAACTCTACAGCTACATTTTTATAGACTACCTTACTACACATTGCCGTACAAAAATGGAATTCAGCTACTGTACATTAATAGGGTACACTTTCATGTACAAATTTTGTCAATCAAGAAATCAGAATACAGTGAATTGTTCCAAGGATATCACATAACGGATGTATAATCAGTCTTGGTGTTATATCCCTCCCACAAACCTTCTAAAATGAAAGCAAAGCTCCATCATTAAAACTAAAGTCAGATCCAAATAAAAACACCCCACACTAATGTCCTATTTGCACTTTGAATGCATCTATGTACACAAAACAACACCTTTCAACAAAATAAAGGGCTGTGGGTAACCGGGTAAAACACCAACATTCTTTATAAAAGGGCTACTATTAGAGAAAATAAACAAGCTAAAAATACAATTCCCAAATTTATAATTGTGACCATATTAGAATTTCATGGCATTTTTTATACACACCTCTCATTGCATATACAGGTTATGAGTATCCGAATCAACTTTGCTACCAATGTAATAAAAATATTTAAACTATGCCTTGAAAAAGAAAGCTGTACAAACTGATGGCAAAGTTCACATCAAATAAAAAAAAAAGGGATATTTAACAAAGATACAAAACAGGTAAATCCTCATCACCAGTAGCATGAAATGGAATATTGAAACTAAGTTTGTACAAACTTGTTTCTGTAATGTCTTGAACATCAGTTTCGTAGAACAGATACAGTACCAAGCCCCTTTATTGTAAGAATGGTTAAAATTTATTTAAATAATCATTAAGCTAATTACTAAATCAAATATAATGATGCTGCAATATTCAATAGGATACTATTTAGTGGCCGCTGTTTATCGACTCAACGCATGTAAATGAATCACTGTCCACACATCAATGCAAGTGGCTGTGTCTGAGCCGGGATATTCTGCTTTTTCATTTCATCAAGATTGCTCAGGTTAGGTGGACATGAATAAGATACAAATATCACTGGGATTGGTAGTAACCACGTCGAGGAGAAAAACTCTGTCCATAACTTTGCTTTGAAAATGTTGGTTTTGCACCCTGAGGGCGATGTTGCTGCTGAAAGTTCACACCCTGAGGGACACCCTGAGGTGCTACGTTTGTTGGCTGCTGAGGGAATACTTGGTAGGTTTCATTGTAGTACTGCTGTGAAGTGGATTGACTCTGGTGCGTTGGTGCTGGGGCCAGGTTGCCTTGCTCATGATAGCCTAGGAATGTGGTGTTCAAAGGCTGATTCGAGTTGACTTGGCTTGGACGAGTTGACTGTACAGGGTAAGTCAAGCTGGTCTGGTGACCCCTGGGTGATGATGATGATGATGCATGATACTGCGACTAAAAAAACAAATATACTATTATGAATTTAAACCAACAGAAAAGTTCTTGATATGAGGCACCCCGAAGGTTTGAACCTTCACTGTGCATTTCAGTTGTGATCTTTACCACATTTGTCTCACTCCACCCAGGAGTATAAATGGGTACCTGGTTCACTACTGGGGAGGAATAAGGCGATGTGGAAGGGAACTGGCCACCCTATTACAAAATGGCTCGGCTTAGTACAATGGGATAACTAACAGCTTATTCAATAATGCATTTGGGATTACCTTCTACTAAAGACCTATTTGGAGAACCAGACAAAGGTCTAAGACCCACATGATCAGTACTCAAGTTTGAATTTGAAAATTATGGTTATCGGTTACAAAAAACATGAGTAGTAATAAATGTGGAGACTTGTTTCCAACAATCATTATAGAACATTTGTAAAAATGTTACATTTATTATTAAGTGGATAAATAACATGTATACGCTAAGATTTACTGCAAAATGAGTATTGAATTGCTAACCTGCTGAGGATATAATTGCATCCCAGTATTATTCCTTGCTGAAGCAGATGCCACCGGACTAGCTTGGTAACTATTCTGTCTGCCAAATGGGGGCGGAGGTGTTGAGTCAGTATTATTAAAGCCTATATGGAACCAAAGTAAACAAACTTTCATAGCAATAGGTTTACAGATGCAACAGACAAGAAGCAACAAAAAATGTGAAAGCAGTCATTAGCCATACACTAGTGCAAGCACTCGTCTGACAAATATTGAGAAAAGACTCAATTTCATATTACCTTCTCTGAAGTTCTGTTTAAGATGTTGTACTGGGTTCAATTCCTGTCACGGTAACAGGATTTTTTTTTCTCACAACCAAAACAACTCCACAACCAAAACAAAACTTCAATCCCTAAGCCTCATAATGATACTTGGTTTATGTAGAGAATCTTACGTTTAGGTGTGACTTGTGAAGGGATATGCCACTTTAAATAGTGATTAAGTTTGCTGCTTGGCATATCCATAGCCTTCGGCCTAAACCAATAATAAAAAATGATGATGGGACTGGTAATGGACTCCTAGCTTGACCAAACACTAAATGCTTCTGGCTCCCCCACCATTCAATTATTGAATAAAACTCTATTCTTCCTCAATAAAACTATAGTATAAAATGAGATGATATATCAATTGGAACTGATACCATATGTTATGCAATAGATTCAAAATTGTTGATTTGGACATTATCTGAAGAGAAACTTTTCATCATTTTCCAGACATCTATGACAAATACAAGAAGTTCAATGAATACAGATCCAGAGATGTCCGAAAGGAAAGTGGGGGAGGGGGATCCGAAAGGGGGCCGATCAAGATAACACCACACGTGGGGACATGCCCCCATGAAATTTTTGTTTCCTAGACGCCTGAAAATAGCCTCTGAGGAGTTTTGGGTGATCATATTTTTTCTTTTCCTTTCTTTCCTTCTTTTTTTTTTTAACTTTCCAAAAGTTCTAAATCCGCTCTTGTTTATTGTAACACTACAAAACAACTACAATAGATTCAAATTAACAATATTTCATTCAAATTTATATATTTTGACAACTTTTCAGCTTTAAAATGAACAGTTTTCTTTATCCTTTAAATAGATAACGGTGTAGGCCCACTGTGTGTTTTACTTTTTTTTTCATACAAACTAATGGGATTTATTCGTTTTTTATTAAAGTGTACATCATATAGGATTCAAATCCATAACCCTCACTCTGATTTCTAAGTCTTTACTCTATTGCTATTCATTCTGCTGTATCTGTCTATGACTCGCACCACTGGAATAATACAACTTCTGTTGTTTTAATTACATTTCTTTTGATTTTATCATAAATGATTATATTTACATTGCAATTTATTGTCAGAAGTTAGTTTAATACTGTATAGCCCTTTATTTTCATGCGCCCTTAATCTTTATGATTTTATGCAAACATTCTGCTTCTTTGTGTAGTATTTTTCTATCATTCAATCACATTTTAAAAGTTAAATCTTCATATCAAGGACTTAGTCATCTATTTACTAATAATAAAATAACATCATAAAATAATCCTGGCAGTGGCAAGACAGTCAGAATTTAAAATTTTCATCTACTTGAAAGAGAATGGCAAAATTAGCTACCTCCTCTTGAATCCACTGTTGCCTTTGACTTGGGAGGTGGTGGAGGAGGTATGTGAAGTTGTAGATTATGCTTCTTATTGGGTGGTGGTGGTGGGGGCTCAGGTGAATGTGAACGCTTTAAGTTGTGGTTTGGCCCAATTCGATGTGACATCTTCTCACTCAAGCCCTTGTACTGGGTTACTGCATTTTCTGCCACAGGTACTGATGACCTGTCAAAATAAAGTTATGTAAATTTGAGTAAACACGTACTGGGTAACAATATTTGAAAATTTATCAAATTTGTTTAGTTTGGTACCATACAGTACATTAAAATCATACAAGTAATTTTCAAAAATTATGATACACATAATAAAAATATTTTACTAACCAGTCCTAGAATACTGTAGAACTGAAGTTGTTATGCAGCAAATGGTAAATTTAACCATTGCACCCTAATTATGAGTATTTTATTCAGACATTTAGTTTTATTGTTAAAATATATTTATTCCCCAATACAAAAAAATACCATTTGCCTGTAATGTAAGATTAATATTTAAAGCATTTTGAAGCCATCTGCCCATCCAGCTCATCAAATCTAGCATAAACTGTCATCCACAAAATAACAGTGAGTATTGGCTTTTTATAGCATAACATGGTTAAGATCATTTGGTTTGAAGACATGTCCAGTTTTATACAATATATTTCTTCACTATACTAAACTTTAAATTTTAAATAAATAAATTTTCTTATCAACATATCAATGAACTTTTGACTATTTTCTCCAACTTCTTTAGTGGAGAAATGTCTTGTACGAAATAATGTGCACGTTGTTCAGTTTTAACTTTAAAATCTTTTGAGATGTCAAATTAAAAATTAATTGTTATTTGATGGATGGTTCAAGAAATTAAACTTTCTGGACTGACATGGCCTTGATAATCTTGTGTGAAATTGGCAAAAATATTGTATATTTTGAAATATATACATTTTCACCCTGAATCCTCATTAATTACTCTCATATGCAACTAATATTAGTTATGTTCGGACAGCCTTCCATCTGAAGTAAAGTTACGGCACCGACAAAAAAAATTACCCGCCTGTTACTGCCAAGGCAAAGCTTACCCAGGGCATAATGTTCTTTTTAATTGAAAGCTAGTTCAAAGCTTAGAAGTATTGTGCAAATTTTCCAAAAGTGATAATTGATTATGCACACAAATTTTTAAAATTGTTAACACTTATGAAAACATTCTGCCTACAAAGGTTTACAAATCAAAGAAATGTTATTCTAGCACTCATTTGTAAGTAATTATCTTTTGAAAAAAATTGAGGTCATAATAAAGGGTGTATTAACATGTGAGCTCTGAAGAATGTGCTTTAAACGGCGCTACTGAGCAAGTATTCCTTACATTCCTTGTGTACACGGAAGGAAGCAGCACACTTGAGACTGACTCATGAGTACATCGTCTGTAACACTGAAGTAGCCTAATACAAAGAGTGCCTTCACGGGCATTACCCAGGGCTTATGACAAGTGCTTCTTCAAAGCTTATTAATACTTCTAACTCATCTGAACATGGCTTCTTGTGTACTCAGGCTCCTTACTCATAGTCTATAACTTACCGTCTGCTTTCACCAGCATCAGTTTTTGATCCTGTGTCCTTTAATAAAGATGTCAATGATGATATGGCCTTTTCAGCTTCAGTACTCAACCTAAGTCCCTTTCCTGAGATGTCCTTTTCTACTGGAGGAGGTGTATCAAACAAGGGTAAAGTAGCCAGTGTTGTTGGCATCTTTACAGGTGTGTTTTCAGTTGACTTGCTTAAGGATGATGTTAAAGATTTTACTGGCGTTGAGGGATCTGAAGAAGCTGGAGTTGGCTTTGCTGTTGTTTTCCTTTTACGGTATTCCAGTAATGAGACCTACAAAAATGTTGTCAAAAATATAATAAGTTTGATATATTTGTCATATAACATACGAAAAGAATTTAAAAACAGTCTAAACCTAATACGAACTGCTTCGCAATCAAGGAAAAACATTTCAAAACCAACATTTGTGACCATGATACATATTTATTATAGCGAACATTTTTTTTCCCTCTAAAATTAAAACACACCCATAGCCCCTTCTACCTAATTGCAAAACAGCCCATATGAACTTGAAGATAAAAGAAATGAAAATTAGTTAAATCCTGGACAATAACACTTTTTAAATAAATTATACCATTCCTATATTTTCTGGTAACAAATGTTTCAACCAATATTACTTATATCAACAAAAACCATTTTGAGAATCTTTATATTATGCAAGATATAATTTACTTTGAAAAACTTGACAAATGTTCACAAATGATTGTTTAAAAATTGTTTTTGTATTAATCATATAAAATTTACCTTAAATAATAACTATGATTACATGAAATACTGCCCTAGTTTCATAGCAAGGGCATCCAAATTTCCTTTCACTAAAATTAAGTATATATAGTAAACACCCTTAAATATAGATTTACAACACGGTAACCAACCTTCTTTTTTACAGCTGGTGTTCCAGCAGGTGATTGACTTCCAACTGGTGGAGTGACTGGTGGTGTACCCTCTGGTAACCCAGAGCTGCCAGCATGTGATACTTTAACTGGTGTGCTGTTAGCACTGCCTACAGAGTAGGACAAAGACTGGACTGGTACTCCTGGCCTACTACCTACAGGACATGGTGGATGATGGATTCCAGTTTCACTGCTTACTGGCGCACCACCTGCAGGATAGTGCGAGAGCTGGGCAATTGGTGCAACTGTTCCACTATTAACTTGTGAAGTAACTACACCCTCTATAGGATAGGGTAATGGTTGGACACTTGGTATACCTGATCCAATGTTGAGGCTCATGGAAGTGGGAGTTGATGGCACAGGTTTACCACCATCTGTCTTCTCTCCTAAGCAATTTTCTTGTAATTTATTTTCAATTTCTGTTCTTTGTGGTAGTTTTTCTGATGCACTATCTCGCCATCCAGCAGAAAAAACTGTTTTTGGGTTTTCTGACTCGCGTATGAACATGAGGGCACGTTTCTTTGGTGACGTGTAATTGCTCTGCGAGAGGTCACTTGTTTGGTCGTCAAGAGAACTGCGAGCAGAGTCTGGCCCAATTTTTTTTGGCGATTGAAAGTTTAACGTCCTAACTGTATTGGGAGAGACTCTTTGTGACACATTCAAACCGTCTGACATTGTTCCTTGTGCAGTTTGTGCAATGATGTCATTACCTAAATGGTCCTTATCCATATGGTTCAGACTTTTACTATTACCAGGCACTGCATATTCTGATACAGAACTCCAAGATTGTTGAAAATCAGATAAACTTGAGACAGATTCCTGCAAATCTGTTTGCGAAGCATCTCCAGATCCTAATGAATACACTGTACCATGCGAAGAAGACAATGATTTATTGATATCAAGTTCAGCTTTGGCTAGAATACTGCCTTCAGATGAGACCAAAGTCCTTTCTGTTGATAAACTAGGTCTATTTGGCCTGTTTTGGTCAGATTTGGAATGCAAATGGAGGGCTTCAATTGAAGGCTTAGTCTCCGTAAGGAGTTCATTTAATGGTGCATGTTCCGACTGCATTAATGTCCTGGGCACAATAACAACAGCATTTTCAGAGCTGTTAAAAATTTTGTTTTGGTCAGTAATATTATGCACATTATCTGTGGGAAAATATTTTGGGGATTCGGAAATGTCCATGGGGGTGGTAACAGACAAACCACTATCTATTGAGGAGTTCTTGCGAAAATCCTGTAATGAAACCAAAACAGAGCATCAGAAATGTATTCATGACATCAACAAAAAAATCTGCCAATCACTTCAAATATGTAATGAGGTTTGGTCTCTGTGTTCTGTTGAGTATTTATTATTTTGTAATGGACCATTACATAAGCCCCACCCCTTGAAAATTGTTGCATATGTCCCACAAATCAACAGCGTAAACCTATATTATAAACCATGTTTTCTGATCCTGTTCAGGTTTCACAGACACTCCTGAAAGGTTCATTAAAGGCCCAAATAAAAATGATAATGTAGCTGTCAAAATAAATACATGCATTATTGTTAAGTTATTAAAGGGTGGCACCTAGGGGTTTTACTTTCTTTACAAATATGAATATTTTTTTGTAAGAAATAATTCTTATATATGTTATCTGCTAACCTTTTTAGCTGGCAGTGCAAGAGGAAGGGGCTTAATAGTGCCACTACCTTCTTGAAACTTGTGAGCAGGGGAGAAAATAAGCTAGAGACAAAAACAAGACCATTTTAGCACACCACATCACATCAGACAATATATAAAATATTTAGTCATGAGGGTTAATCAACCTCATAGTGTTGGCAGTCATTGAAAATATATACATGCCAGCTAAAGTTATACTTCTACAGTAAACAAGCAACAGGTCAAACCGTCACAGCATTACGCCATGTATAAACAATTTTTGAGGATAACCCATATTTCCAAAAATGCAGAGAAATGATGGATGCATTTATTTTAATAAATTCCCAAGGTTCACAGATATGGTACAAATGAGTAAGCATTAGTTTAGCACAATCATGAATGCTTATAGGCATAGTTGAAAAAGTTTCATATATTATTTTTGAGTGTTTCTACTTCTAAGTTCTGTTATAAATGAAGAAAATTGTATATGAACAACTCCTCCTCCTGTCTCTCCATAGCATTAAAGGAGTATATGTTAAGAATCAAGCAAATAGAATCCAGTGTTTACAAATGCATAAAGAAAAGCACAGTTCACATAAATTACATCCATAGACATAGAAAAACAGAATGAATTTAATGAAGAAAACTCAAGTAATAAACAGGCAAAAAACCAAAAACAAACCAGTAAAATTTACAGAGTAGACAATCTAAGCAACAACAAGCAACACGTGAATGTTGTTTCTTACCTCCACAGCTTGCAGGTCTTGTTGATTTGAATCATTCTTTTCTTTGCATTTTGTTTGTAGGTCATTGCTGTAATCTACCAGGCCTAACTGTTTATGATTTGTCTCAATCTTCTGATCTTCCTTTAGAATGTCTTCTGAACTTTTTAGTATCAGTGAAGAGGATGCAACTGTAGTAAGCAGGTTCTCTTCCACAGCAATACTCACATTAGGTTTAGGATAAATGCTAAGCACTGATGATGTAGAGGGCAGTGTACAATCAGTATCTAAGGATGGATGAAGAGGAGAGGAGGATGCTGACGTTGCTGCACTGCAGAGGGCAGTAGATTGGTCGTCAGATACAGAAATCCTAAGCCAGCGTTTCTTTAATGGTGTAATCGTTTCTGTGAATGACAATATTACTATTAACATTATGTCTCTCATTATCAACATTATTAACACAAAGTACTAATTGGTGCATTTGATAAAGTTGTTGCAATTCAGCCTCTTAACAAGTAGGCTTGTGGTTCCAGTCCAAAGATTTTGCATTTTACTTGCATCCTTGATTAAAGCAAACATACATCTGTGTATTTCTACCCAAGAGAAAATGGGTAGTTGGTAGGATGCTAATGAAAACAGTATGTGGGGGGAGATTGCATATTTATTATCAATCAATCGTGACACCATTACTTTAACTCTCGATGTTAATTTCCTATCCAAACTGTGCACTAAATTTTCAATATTTTTCGTTAGTGCATGGTTTGTTTGACCACTTTTCGGTTTGTGTGCAAAAGGCAAATTCAACTTGTATGTATCACCACATCGTGCACAGCTAGTGTTTTTCACCTGGTACTACGGCGCACGCCTGTGGAAAGAGGGGGCAACCACTCGCCATTCATGGTTTGTTGACAAATTGTAATTGAAAAAATGACATTTGTAGAACAATTAAAGCCACTTCAAATTCAGTATTATGTATGAAAAATTAAGGAATTTCTTGAATCAATGGACTTTAATACACTAAAGAAATGGAACACTTAATAGGAATATTTGAGGCATGCCTAGACCTATTTTAAAGATGCAAGGAACAAATTTAGATGTAAGCAGTAGGCCGAGGGCTAGATAGATTCGTAAGCCTAGGCCTAGATGAAATCATCACATGATTTTACCTGTCTGCACCGACTAAAATGTGATTACTATATTGTGCTTAAAAAAATGTTATTTCTTTGACGAATGTCTATTAAAATAGTAAACTCAATACATGTTCTTCAAACACAATGATTTATTCATCATACTGTGTAAATGTTCATTTCAATTTCAATTGTGTGCTAGCGCGTACTGCAGCAATAATTCGCATATGCACAGCTAAATGTAATTTGCACGCAGATATATTGATCATATTACAATAGCAACCGATGACTACTACAACTAATGTTTATCCATACACTAGAAGAAATTATTATACTTAGGTTCAAAAAATTGTTTTCATGCATTATAATAATTATTATGTATAATAATTTCCATTAGAGTATGATATGTAACTACCTTAAAACCTTGAATAGATAGAAGTTCAATGGGCTTAATCTCGAGAAGAAGCCCAACTCGAATTGAAACCAGCTGTTTAGTTTGCAAAGATAGCATAGACTTCTTTTAGAGATAGTACAGAACATACACTGTACAATAATTTCAAAGCAACAAAATAAATTTAAAAATCGCTTGGTTTATACAGTAGTTTAGGTGATTTAATACTGGTTAATACACTCCTGATTGATGTTACACTGGCCCTATGTTATTGTTTTATAGTAGATATTTCCCAAAATTCACAGAATTCATTTTGAAAAGAAGCCCCACGCCCCCCCCCCCCCCCCCTTTTTACATGGCATAAGTAGCCTTGAAAAGAAGCCCATCTCATGCTTATTACATACCATTCTTTGGAGACATTGCTGACCCAGCCAATATGCCACTGGGGCTAAGCGCACCACTGCCAACCGGTGAATCTCCTCCTCCACCACCTCCAGCTTCGTTCATTGCTAACCGCAGCCATCTCTATTAATTGTTTGAAAGTAGCATTACAACATATTATATTATACATCAGCATGTCATTAGATTTAGAAAAAGCATTTGCTCAGAGATATACTGCCACTTAAAAACTGAAAAATAAAACCCCAAAACTTTCTTTTAGTTGACATTTAAACATATTTCATATGGCACATATTGCAAGCAGACAATTAGATCACCGGAGCTTCACTGGCATTTAATTTTGAAAAGTATTTGAAATATAATAATATTAATAATAATATTTCCGACAATTCTAATCAATATATTAGTAATATTAATAAAGACACCTTTACCTTTTTTGCAGATCCTAGGCTTGCTTCTGGACCCACCTTGCCTACTAGAGCGGAGAGGCTATTAGAGCGGGCCAGTTGAGAATGAGAGTTGGTATTAGGTGAAGCTGAGTCGACAATATCCACAGGATCCGTGGATATTGATAAAGGATTATCCACACATGCTTCTTGTGCTTTCTCATTTAACCACTCATTCAAAAACAACTGCAAAAGACAAAAAAAATAATGAGTATATAGACCCATACATAGCATTATTAATTTTTCATAATTAGTTTTATCTATCAAAAATACATTGCAAGCAAGGATGAGCTAAACTTTTGAAAACAACACTGAATGTTTTGTATGTTGTTCATTGAATACTATCCATTAATTAAAAAAGATAAATTTCTAACTACACTAGAGTATTACACTAATAACTAATTAGTATAGTTCTTAAATTACCTAATAACTAATTAGAGCCTTACAAAGGATGGTATAGCTGGTGATATATTTTATGCTACACACTTGCTGAGTTACTGTTTGTCAATGGTAGTGCTTTGTCCTACTTCTGGATTGATTTAATGATACCTACAGTAATATCCAGCACGAAACTGCCCTCTTAAGTCAAAAAATAAATAAATACTCCCTACTACAGTACCTCACTTGTCCAAAAAATTTAGCATGATAATAATATTTATGGGGGTCTAACATGTCTCTCTATGTGAAAATGTGGTGGAAATCCCAAGACAATGTCATCTTGGTATGCATGGACATTTTTGTTATGTTAAAATATGCATAACATTTTTTACAAATACCTATATTGATTTGAAAATATGTCAACCTTGGGTACAATGCGAAGTCAATTACCTTTTTCGTCTTCGGAAACTTGAAATGTTTGCTGTTACAAGTGACAGGTGAAACCAAAGGCAATAAACGATCATTGTTGTTAATGAGTCCAACAACACCATGTGTTCTCGCAGGACTACTGTTGCTTGAAAAAAAAGATGGCATACTGGTGATCGGTGTGGCTGGCAAACTGGACAATGACTGGTCCAGGGGCTTTATCTCCGTGCTAATGGTGGATGCAGCACTGTTGTTTCTGGTTCTCCTGAAAAGGTAAAATATAATCAATATTACAGTAGAATTAAAATAGTAATCATTAATTTATGCACAATAAGCACATCATTTTATTTAACGTAACTGAGTGCTCACAGCAATTGGATTTAATTTATTGGCTCATTAAGATAAAACAAAAGAAATAAAATTGAGAAAAAATACAGATACGCAAGTACAGATAAGCAACTAATTGAACAGGATAACCAAATGAAGTTCTAACATAATATAGAGCCTATTTCCATTTACGTCTTTAGCAATTTGAAACATAAATGTACGTACTATTTTAATACATGGACAACTTGTAAAAAAAGACGAATTGTAAGAATTAAATTGCATAAAATTATAAAATAATAATACAAGCAATCCTGACTTAAAAGAGGCGATCCACATATTACCTTTATATCTCATAAAACACCTCAATTGCATTACCTAGTAAAACAACTTTCGCATCATGAAACTTTCGCTAAGTACAAAAGGTTTTATTCATGAGAAGAATACCATAAAATAGCTGGGAATATTGTATCATGAGTTCTAGGCCTAAAGCTGGATAGGCCTACGGCCTGTCTGAAGACCAGCTAGGCCAGGTACAACCAAGGAATATAGAACTGCAAAAGGAATAGGCGTAGAATAAAAAAAAAATTGCGAGCTGAACATTGGTCCTTAGGTCAGAATATTATGATTACATATATTTAATAAAATCCACCAAAACAATTAAAATAAGATTTCTGACCCAAGCTCACAAACAGGCTGTAAACTCACACAGCACCTTATTGAGAAACAAGCCTCAACAGCCAGAACATGCCATAAAATATGAATTTTGTGTGAATTGGGTTTTTGTGTAATAAATAAAGTATAATTATTAATCTTACTATTCCTCAAGTTTGAGTTTAAATTCAAACTGTAAAAGGCAAAATTTAGCCATTTTCAAATGGGAGTTAGTGAAAATGAATAGGAAATTGCCAAAAATAAAAATTTTTTTCTCAAAACTTTATTTAAGAAAGTTGAGAAGATGACAATTATTCAAACGGTCATAACTTTGCTTCCAGACACCCGATTGAGTTTATTTAACTGTCATTTTAAAGTAAATGATATGTTCTATGCCATTATAACAAAAACTCATTTTGGCTTGAGGATGAGTTTACAGCCTGTTTGTGAGTTTGGGTCACATTTAAAGTTTTCAACTGTTTACAAAAATGTTGCAATTTGTGGGGATTTCCCTAGATTTAGCCCTAGACATGTTTTTGCATCGCAGGCGAGTTTAGGCCTAGAAATACCAACTTACACCGACAATTACTGCTGTCTATTGTTCATTATTATAAAAAGTTGAAATATATTTTTGGTTAAAATCAGTGTTTTAAATCACCAAAAAACTCATTTTGAAACTGATTCAAGCTTAATGTGTTTGATATTATAGGGCTACAATATATTGATTACTATTTTGCAATGACTACTTGCAAAATTCGCAAAAGTGTTTTTGCATGTGAAAGTTTCTGGTTTTACAGTAGTAATAAATCATTTGATAATTACAAAGCTGTTTTTGTTCAAGTTAGATAAAAAACCTTTACTAAACATTTGTTAATGTCTAATGAATTGTGAGTACTAAACCAGGTGTACTCTTTTAATTCTTTCTTTGTTCATGTATACTGTAAATTTTCAAGTAACACTTACGCCGATATTCTTAAAACAAACTTTAGTCGAACTTCAAACTACAGTAGAACTTTATTTAGTGCTAGTTGCAACTTCAAATTCAATTTGTATTCACAAACAACATAGTCGAAGTTTTAACTACTACTAAATCTAGTCCTAGTTTTAGTTCAACTGAAGACGACTGGCAAGCCACGACTATCAAACTAACCAATAGAAAGGGTTAACTTTAATAGCAGAGAAAATTTTAGAGATCTGGTAACGCCGTCTGTGGTTCAAAAACGTATTTCCTCATAATTCATAATAGACCATCATTCGCTTAATTAATTTTCTATAATGATAACTATATTAATTGTTAACATATTACGATAAAGAATTTGAACAGTAACTGAAAATTTGCTTTCTTTGGAGAACTATTATAGTTGAGGCTCGAGTGAGGGCAGCGGCATCTTTGTTGTTGTTATGGTGAAGCTAGGTGATCGCAACCAAGGGGATTTTCATGCAAATCAGGAACTATCGCATGTGGCTAGCAAAACAAGTTAATTTCTCCTTTTGTAAGGGGCAATTCCATGGTCACAGACCGACTTTTTAAGGCATTCATAATGGTAAAAAACTGTTCAGATATTACAGATAAACCAGTAAATCTGAAATTCTAAGTAAATTTAATACTCCTTCCCACATACTTTTAATTGACAATATTACAAAAATCAAAACATAAAGTCATTTATGAAATATTGATATTAATATGTTTGGTCACAGACCGACTTAAAAAAAAGAGAAAATTTTACAAATATAAACTTTGTACAATTCTATTGAAAATATTACGAAAAGATTTATGGTAACACATCCAGTATGTAAAATCATATATAAGGAATTAGTATCAACAGAGAAGGTGATGTAAAACTACATCATGGGGATGGCAGGGTAGATGGTACCACCTTGGGTCTGGTCACAGACCGACGGTCACAGACCTATGGTTGCATTTGAAATGAACAGCAGGGTTTTTTTCTTTAGATGTTAATGGCAATGGTGGCGCCAGATGTTTGCCAACAAGGGGTCCAACGTGTCTGATGGAGGGGTCCGAACCAAAGCTACGACAAAGCCTCGGTTGATAGCCCGAAACAAAAAAATCTATGTTAGGGTTCTTGAAGGGAGTTTTTATGGCTTAATTTAAGCCTAAATGTGTTTTTAGACCACAATATTAGGGATTGGCAATCAAGATAGCGTTATTTGGATTGGAAAATTATTATTTTTAAAAATTTTTGGTCCGACGACCTAGTCGTTCGTCGAAAGACAGGGGGTCCTGGCCTTCCGACAAAGAAAATTCCCCTACCCCTTCCCCGCTCCTCCCCCCACCCCGCTGACACCTCCACTGGTTAATGGCATAGTGAATAGTAACTATACAGTATTTAAATGTTGAAATCAAGATCTATACTGAATGATAAACAATGGTTGAAAGCTGCATGACTTAATAAACCTAAAAAATTTTGTTTTTTGGGTCACAGACCGACAAAAATATTAAGAAATATTTTTGCCCCGCCTTAATATTTTGTTGTAAATGAATATTACTTTTTGTCACAAAAACTAATAAAATATGTTAAGTTCTCCAATTTAA